TTTTTTTTTTAAAGCAACAACCATATTTTCTGGTGGGCAACCAAATCTACAGTCCTTTAAATTCTGTCTTATTTAGATTTATAATCTTGTGGGGAAGGATTTTTTAGATGACTGATGTATTCAAATTGTATAAATTGCAGTGAAGACTGGAGAGAATCTAACCCTTTGTGTTTTTTTTTTTAAACCAAAGCATTAGGAACAAAGTTCTTCATACAGATCATGAGCCACAAGGTAGGTGTAAAAGTGTTGACCTGTCAGGCAGGTGGAGGGGCTCAGGGATAGAGCACTGAAGTGGGTATAAGAAAAGATTACTGAACTCCCAAAATACATGGCTTAATTTTTCTTGGGAACTGGTTCTTTTAAACCTCGTAAATGTATTGGTCAAAGAGGATGTTTCAGTCAAAAAATCTTTGGATTTTAGCATCTTGGAGGAAATCTTTCTCTGTGGAGCAGAAGAACATGAGGTTCCCGGTACCCTAAATTATACGTGGGCCACCAAGAGTAAGCTTGTATCCTATGCATACATAGCATAGATGTAAAGTCTACTGGCTACTGTCCTGCAGTTGATCTTTGACCCTTAGTAGCTGTGATGGATAAATTGAAATAACTTTCAAGTTATTTCCAGTGCCTAGAAGTTGAAGCTAGAAAAATTCAGAATGGAAATAAAGTTTATTTTTAACAGTGAGGGAGAATTGGAAAAATTACCAACTGTTGTGGTAGATTCTCCATCAAATTTTTGAAATAAAGATTGGATACCTTTCTAAAGGATCTGCTCTAGGTCAAACGGGAATTAATTCAGGGCAGTCCTATGCCTTGTGTTATACAAAAGGTCAGCCTAGATCAGTAGTTTTCAACTTTTTTTCATTTGCAGACTCTTAAATTTCAAATGGAGGTGCAGGACCCCTTTGGAAATCCTAGCTATAGTCTGTGGACCCCTAGGGATCTGCGGATCACAGGTTGAAAACCACTCCTAGATGATCATAACTGTCTCTTCTGGCATTAGAAATAGGGTGACCAGATGAGAGGAAGAAAATATCAGGAAGCAGTGGGGGGGGGGGGGTGTCCGCTGGCAGAGCAAAAAAAAGCCGCGTGCTGCCAGGACAAATTGCGTCCCAACCAAAGATCAGTCGAGACGCGGGACAAACACCTAAATATCAGGACATCTGGTCACCCTACTTAGAAATCTGTGAATCTCCTCATTTTTGGTCTAAAGGGTAGATATTTTGAGGAGGAGAATGACACTCCAAGACTGGCTCAAAGGATCCTCCAGCGAAACTTCAGTCAGCGTTCTTTCAGCATCAATAAAAGGGATTTAGAAGACAACTATGGTAAGTGTTTCTTTGCTGGCTTGTAACATTCATGCAGGGGCCTGGACTAGATGACCTCTGGAGGTCCCTTCCAGTCCTACAATTCTATGATTCTATTCATGGTTTCCGCAAAGATACAGCGAGAGACAGCTTAGATCTTTGGAAGTATTAAAGTATCTTAAACTTGGTTAAAGGACGGAGTGGCTTGTAGGGAAGTAACTTTCCACTCTAGGCATTAAGTTTGGTGGATATATGCGTCTGTGTGCTAGAGCAGCGGTTCACAAATTCTTTCATTCTGGGATCCAAAATCAGGTGCAGTGGTCTTCTTGCAGTTCAAAACCACACAAACTGTAGAGGCAATAAAGGATGATGTGGGTCAATATCACAGCAAGAAACCATACCTAGGTTTTGCAAGGTGGGTGTGAGACTGCTTGGGTAATATATAGTTGCTGGGTGGGTGACTGGGTGTACTGAGACAAACGCTTCTAGGCAGCATATTGAGTGCAGACACGCAACACCATGCCCCAACCTTTGTGAGCCAGGAAGGCTGGAGTGAGTGCGTAACTCAGCTGTGTGTGTTTCATTTTATTTATTTAGCGTATGCAATCTGGCCAAGCCACAGTGTTCTTATCAGTAATATTCAAGGCATGCAGGAAGTTGTCATTTTGCAGTCCTCCACCGTGTGCGTCATGGTTTGTGGGTTCCCACATTGAGCTAGTGGACTATGTCTGTGGTCTAGAGAAATGGACGATCCAACTAGCAGATCAGATTTGCTGTGTGGGGTACAAACTGGTTACAAAACTACAGTCACGTCTGGTGCAGACAGGGCCTAAATCAGATTCCTGGGGATCATCCCAGTAAAGTGACTGTTCTTATTAAGGCCCTCTCCATGCCACAACTCATAATTGACTTTATTAGCAGTGGCTGGCTCCAAAATGTGTTTGACTACAGACACAAGTTGGTTAATATCCTGTTAGTACTAGGCTGTCAAACAATTAAACAGTTTAATTGCACGATTAAACAATAATAGAATACTATTTAAATATTTGTGGATGTTTTCTACATTTTCAAATATATTTATTTCAATTACAACACAGAATACAAAGTGTACAGTGCACACTTATATTTATTTTTATTACAAATGTTTACACTGTAAAAAAAAAAGAAATAGTATTTTTCAATTCATGTAATAATAATATAGTACAATCTCTTTATCATGAAAGTTGAACTTACAAATGTAGAATTATGTACAAAAAAAATTGCATTCTAAAACAAAACAATGTAAAACTTTAGAGCCTACAAGTAGTCAGTCTTACTTCTTGTTCAGACGATAGCTAAGATAAACAAGTTTGTTTACATTTGCAGGAGAAAATGCTGCCCACTTCTTGTTTACAATGTCACCTGAAAGTGAGAACAGGCATTCACATAGCACTGTTATAGGCGGTGAAGCAAGGTATTTACATGCCAGATGCACTAAAGATTCATATGTCCCTTCAGGCTTCAACCACCATTCCAGAGGACATGTGTCCATGCTGGTGACAAGTTCTGCTCAATAACGATCCAAAGCGGTGTGGCCCAACGCATGTTCGCTTTCATAATCTAAGTCAGATGCCACCAGCAGAAGGTTGATTTTCTTTTTTTGGTGATTCGGGTTCTGTAGTTTACACGTTGGAATATTGTTCTTTTAAGACTTTTGAAAGCATGCTCCACACCTCATCCCTCTCAGATTTTGGAAGGCACTTCAGATTCTTAAACCTTGGGTCGAGTACTGTAGCTATCTTTAGAAATCTCACATTTGTACCTTCTTTGCATTTTGTCAAATCTGTAGTTTAAAAAGTGTTCTTAAAATTAACATGTGCTGGGTCATCATCCTAGGCTGCTATAACATAAGATATATGACAAAATGTGGGTAAAACAGGGAAGGAGACATACAATTCTCCCCCAAGGAGTTCAGTGTCAAATTATTTAACACATTATTTTTTTAACGTGTCATAAACATGGAAGCATGACCTCTGGAATGGTGGCTGAAGCACGAAGGGGCATATGAATGTTTAGCATATCTGGCATGTAAATACCTTGCGATGCTGGCTACAAATGTGCCATACGAACTCCTGTTCTGACTTTCAGGTGACATTGTAAATAAGAAGCAGGCAGCAGTATCTCCTATAAATGTAAACAAACTTGTTTCTCTTAGGGTAGGTCTACACTTACCTGGTAGTTCGGCGGTGAGCGATCGAACTTCTGGGTTCGACTTATCGCGTCTTGTCTGGACGAGATAAGTCGAACCCGGAAGTGCTCGCCGTCGACTGCGGTACTCCAGCTAGACGAGAGGAGTACCGCGGAGTCGACGGCGGAGCCTGCCTGCCGCATGTGGACCGAGGTAAGTTCGAACTAAGGTACTTCGAAATTCAGCTACGTTATTCACGTAGATGAAGTTGCATACCTTAGTTCAAATTAGGGGGTTAGTGTAGACCTGGCCTTAGCGATTGGGTGAACAAGAAGTAGGACTGAGGGGACTTGTTGGCTCTAAAGTTTTTTACATTGTTTTGTTTTTGAGTGCAGTTATGTAACACAAAAATCTACATTTGTAAGTTGCACTTTCACAATAAAGAGATTGCAATACAGTATTTGTATGAGGTGAATTGAAAAATACTATTTATCATTTTTACAGTGCAAATATTTGTAATAAAAACAATAGTGAGCACTGTACCTTTTGTATTCTGTTGTAATTGAAATCAATATATTTGAAAATGTAGAAAACATCCAAAAATATTTTACACTTCATTGGTATACTATTGTGTAACAGTGCGATTAAAACTGCGATTAATCGTGATTAATTTTTTAATTGTGTTGGGTTTTTTGTGAGGGGGGGAGGTTTTAAGTTAATCGCATGAGTTAATTGTGATTAATATACAGCCCTAGTTAGTACCATGGTCAGGTAAGGGAGCTGCCCTCTTCAGAGGCCTAGCCTGGCATATGGCGCTGGTTTGATGCATTGGGGACTCCTTCCCCCCTCTTCCCCCCCCCCTCCGTAATTCATGGGTGCACAGGCTTGGTGCTCTGGAACCACTGAATAAAGTTCAGGGCTTGTCTACACTACCACTTAAGTTGATGTAACTTATGTCGGTCACGGATGTGAAAAAGCCACCCCCCTGAGCAATGCACCACCTGAGCTGTCCACACCAGTGCTAAGTCAGTGGGGGACACTCTCCCGCTGTCATAGCTTCCGCCTCTTACTGAGGTGGAGTAATTATGCTGACGGGAGAGCGCTCTCCGGTCAGCATAGTGTGTTTTCACCAGACTCACTACAACAGCGCAGTAATGTAGACTAGCCCTCAGACAAGACCCTCTTGTAGTGTGACTACCCCTTGGGGCGCACACTCACTAGGACAAGCCTCCTGGGCTTCAGCTCCTCCTGGGTCTGATCTCTGAGCATTCAGCATCCCTATTTCATGCCGTAAACTCCCTGCAGCGAGTCCACCTGACTAGAACACCGGGGGAAACCTTACATGCCCCTCAAAGGGGCCATGCACCCCCGACTTCGCCAGTCAGGAGTGACTCTCAGCCAGCGGTGTCAAACAGAAGGGTTTATTAGTCATCTGAAACACAGCATCGAGCAGAATCTTGTTAGCACAGAAAGCAGGAAGTTAAAGCAAAGTCCATCTTGAGGAGACTCAGAGCCCTGGGCTCTCCCCCTGAGTCCCAAACCAGGAGACTGACCAGCTTCCAGCAGCTCACTCTGTCACACCCAGTTGCCCCTCCTCCATCCTGTGTGCTGTTGCCCAGACAAACCGGTCACCTGGCCTCTACCTCTTTGTTCTCTAATTCCTCTGACTGGCTCTTGCAGAGGATGGGCACTAGCCATCAATTGCTAGGATACAGAATGTCCAACCATTGTTTGGGCCCAGGTAGCTAGATGGCACTTGTACCTTCCCTCTTGGGGTATCTGCAAAGCTCTCACACCCTTATCCCACCGCCTAGATACTTGTGCAACACATAGGGAAAACTGAGGTGCACAAGTATTCATACAAACATTGACAATTCCCACTTTGTCACAAGTAGCCATTTGTCCTAATTACTGTGTCAGTCTTTCTCAATGGCCTGTCCCTCTGATCTCCCTGTTTAGAAAGGCTGCAAGCTGGTCCCTGGTATCAAAAAGGTTGAAAAACACTGATTTATGTAATCAATCTGGCCCATCCCCCTTACTTCCAGCTATCTAGAAAACCTCCCACAGTCTGTTGTCCCTTGTTTCTTTGTGTGCATGCCCTCTGTACACTGATACAAATGTGGGTAAATAGATTGGAAGGTGTGAGGGGAGACAGCTGCTGCATGAACACAGACTGAATCCTGAAGAAGAGGTCTGTGTATGCTTGAAAGCTTGTCTCTCTCGCTATCGGAAGTTGGTCCTCACCTACCTTGTCCCTTCTATGTAAGTTTTAAGTGATTAAGATGACTTGTGGCTCTCTGAGTCGTAGTGTGGACTAGGAGGGAACATTTTCAAAAATTGCCTGTGACTTAGGCCCTCACTATGTTCAATGGGTGTTGGGCTCTTAAGCACCTGCCAGCCTCTGCACTTTACAGGGCCAAGTGCACTGTAGTACAAATTGCAGCCTTAACTCCAGACATGTTTGTTTTAGTTTGATTTTTCTTACTCCAGCAGAGATGGCTTTTGACCATGAAGGTAAATGCAAAAGGATTTACTTCAGAATGCCGTGCTTCTGCTGACCCTTAGCATGTCACTACTATACAACTAGCTAATT